GGATATTCCTTGTAATACTTTTTTTTTTCTTCTACATTTGTGCATTTGGCTGTGTATAACCTCAACTGTTACAAAATAAAATTCTCTATGTCGAAAAAAAAAACCTTAGGTCATCCGAGCACAGAGTGAAATAAAAGATGTATCCGAAACCATATTTGTGGCATGCGAAGAAGACATGAAGGAAGCTCTAACCGCAGTGAAGATGGGGATTTGGACGTTCAGTAGCGAGTGGCTTATGAACTGTATCATGAAGCAAGAGCTTGATCTTGAGGCCCCTCAATTTGCAGAATCCCTTTAGACTTTTATCGGCTTACCAGCTTTATAAAATGCTGCATGGAAATATCAAATATGTGTATATATATATGCCTAGAAATTAGAAAGGTGAACTTTGTGAAGCCTTTTGAGTCTTATTACATTTACTTGGGAGTTGCTCTTGGCTGAAAGAATTATATGATGCAAAGTATTGATTCCCATTGATTTTCTTGGAGTGATATCATTGGAAATTGATTTCGTATAAACTCTTTAATTTAGTTGTTAAGACCTAGAGTTGAAAATGATGTTATTTCATTTTTTAGTCTAAATTATTTAATGAAAAACATTGTTAGCCAAAATAAGCTAAAATGAGTTTGCTCTATGTAAATATACAACTATTAAACGAAATGAGCCATAAATTCGGTTGGTTAAAGTTGAGCTCGAGCTTGTCTAAGGTTGGTTGGGTTTGATAAATATGAATTTTACATACTCTTTTAACTTTTTGTATAATTTGATTTGTTAAAACTCGTTATGCTAGCACAAGACCAATTTAGGGGTGAGCAAAACCGAGTCGAAATTGATAAACCAAATCAAACTGTGCAATTCGGTGCAGTTCGGTTCGGTTTTTTTTTTAATGTAAAAAATTTTCGGTTTGATTTCAATCTGGTTATTTCCTACTGTGCGGTGCAGTTATAATTTTTCAATTTTTGATTTTGTTCGGTTCGGTGCGGTTTGAACGCACTGCACCAAATTAAATGAAATATATAGAAAAATCGAACTAAAATCGAAAACCGAACTGAATTGTGCATTTTGGTTATTTTAGTGTAAAATAAAATCGATTCGGTTTTGATTGGTTTTATTTAATGATGTTGTGCAGTTCAATTATTTTTTTTGCTAAGTTCCGTTTTCTTTTTTTTTTTCTTTTCTTTTTTTTTGTGATTCGGTGCAGTTTTTTTACCGAACCGCACCTTTGCTCACCGATAGACCAATCGAATAGTTTATAAGATATTTTGTTAAACCCTGTACGTGACCACTACCGGGTGCCACACTCAAATATCAACTCCCAACCCAAGGTCACATTTCATTTCAACAGGCAAGGATAAACAACAAGCGTGTTCGCCGGCGGCGAATATTATCCGCCCAAAATCTTCCAAACATTCCTATACATGGCCGTAGATTCTCTTCGCACGCGGCTGTTCAGCGAAGCCCAGCTCAGGAGCTTCTCAAATTATTACAATTATCCTCCAAAAAGTCGACCTGCCGCAGATTTGAGCCCAAGAGCTTGTCGAGCTTTTCAAGAACCACTTTCCGACGACGGCGAGAACAAATTACTGAAACAACCAGGTCTACCATTCTTTAGTCCTTTGTTTGTCGGCGTTCAATTTTTTTCTCGAAGAAATGTTTATGGGTTGGATCCTGTGGGACTGTGGGAGTATTTGTTTTCTGGGGCCTTAAATTCTTATTAATTAGCATTTGCTTATTCACGAATCTTGCTTTTTGCTACCTTAATTTAACATGTCCCTAGTATGTTTTTGAAGTTAGTTGTGTATGCATAGCTAAAAACTTCAGTAGTATTAAAAAGGAGATATTGTGTGGAGTGTGGTATTATTCCATAAATGAGGAATGGCATATTGCCGTTTGTTCGTATAGGTATGTTATCGTTGAGGAAGAGAATAGAAGATTCTATTCTTCGTGTGGAGATGTTAGCTCCCACGGCATTGGAATTCGAGGTATCTAAGCACATCAATCAGGAAGAAGTTATTCGAGATTACGACTTGTGGGATGACCTAAGTAAATCAAATGAGATCCTGAACGAGCTGGCCGAAAGTGCCAAGGTGGTTGATACTCTCAAGGATCTCACGTATAAGGTGTTATTACGAATTTGCTTCTTTTCGCTTCAGGTTCTGTCTTTTTTTTTTTTTACGTCTGTCAGTTTTGTTCGAGTGCTTAGCCTAGCGGCTGCTCTATATGCATGAAGTTTTTTTTTGCCTTATTAACACAAAATATTGGTTCAAGATTGTTTCTCCATTTACTTTTTTATTTTTTTTAAATAAATGTTTAGGCAGAGGAAGCTAA